TTTCATAACAAGATGATAGCGTTCCTCATGCTCACTCTTTGTTCCCTCATGGAGCGCACAAATGTCTGACCATAGTGCATGGGCGTCCTTGTGGTTCCGCACATGGTTAAACACATCTTTGCAAAGGCCTCTAAAGATGATGTTTCTAGCCTTTGCATTCCATTTCTTGTAATTAACTTCATCGCCTTGAAGGTGTGTGGGATCCTTAGGTTTTGGGAAGCCTTGAGAGGCAGCCCAAAGAATTCCAACATCTAAAGCTTCTAAATAAGTCTCCATGCGGATTTTCCAATAAGGAAAATCATCTCCCTCAAAGATTTGAGGAGGTCATCCTCGTGGGACATCTTTCTCTAGGCGGTTAAGCCTAAATTAGCAAGCACGAGGCTCCAATACCAATTGAAAGGATCAAGATGCCTAAGAGGGGGGTGAATTGGGCTAATTCTAAATTCTTTGCAATAATTAAGTCCTACACTTAGCCCACTTCACCCCTTTTGCCTAGAATGTGATTCTATTGATATACCGCATAAAAGTTTTGCATCCTAAGTTCCAATCCTACTCTAGCATGGTAATTCTAGGAATGTAAAGACATGAAATGAATTGGTCAAATGTAAATGCTTAAAGTAAAGAGAGGGAGAGGAACGCGGTGATGTTTTGCCGAGGTATCAGAGAGTCACCACTCCCCACTAGTCCTTGTTGGAGCCCCCGTGCAAGGGTGTAGCTCCCCTTGATCTGCAAGGATCAAGTGCTCCCTACAGGTTGAATCTTCGACACTCCATCACAGTGAATCGCCCACAACCGCTCACAACTTGAGTTGGGTCATCCACAAGCTTCGCCGGATGATCACCAAACTCCTAATCACCATCGAGTCATCTAGATGATGGCGATCACCAAGAGTAACAAGCACAAACTCTCACTTGATCACAACAAGCCTAATGAGAAGGGGTGGATGCACACTTGCTACTCTCCTTGCACTAATGAGGCCTTAATCTTGGATTCTCATATCTCAATCACCTCACTAGGCTCTTGCTCTCCTTTGCACTCTCAAGGGTGTTTCTTAGCTGAACAAATGGGCAAGAGGCCTCCCTTGGATGAGTGGAGTAAGTATTTATAACCCCTCATTCAAAACATAACGTTTGGAGGCTGAGTCATCACTCACCGGGGTGACCGGACACTCCGGTCAGTTATCCCGCCATTGTGTCAGAAAGAGCCGTTAAGTTCTGACCGGACTCTGACCTGTGTTTGGTCAGCACTGACCGGATCGCGTCCAATCAAGAACAACGCTCTCTAGAACCTTACTGACGTTGATCGGACGCTGGCACCCAGAGTCCAATCACTTCACAATTTAGCATCCAGTCAGTTACTGGATCTTGACCAGCGTCCGGTCAGCACTGACCGGACGTGTTCGATCAGGAAACTCCCTCTCTAGAACCTCTCTAGAGTTGACCGAACGTAGGCACCCAGCGTCTGGTCACTTTTCACTCAGCGTCTGGTAGTAACCAGATGGCTCCAGTTGATCAAATGAACTGATCGGACTCACCCTTCCGCGTCCGGTCACAATCAGACTCAGGGTCCGGTCAGTCATTTGACCCTCCATTCACTTCCAACTCAAAATCCTATGTGAATGAAGTTTACTCCAATTGATCTTAGGGCTACTCCTGAGCTACCTAGTGCTAGGTTTGACAAGTGTGCACCACACCTAACCCACTAGACTCATCTAGATCAAGCTACTAGTCCATACCCCCCCCCTTAATAGTACGGGCAAAGGAAAAATAAAGTCCTAAACTACTCTAAGTGTCTCTTCAACACCAAATGGCATATAGAACTAGTCCATCCTTAACCTTGTCGTCCATCCTTTGAAAACCAAAATGATTTCCATCATCAGGGGCATGACCACCATGATTGACCAATCAATTGCCATTACCATGACCTAACTTAAATTGCCTCTACAAAACACATGTTAGTCATAGTAATCTCACATTGTCATTAATCTCCAAAACCCAACTAGGGGCCTAGATGCTTTCACTCATCAAAAAGAAGATTGAGGAGAATCCAAGGAGGTGGCATAAAGTTTTGTCTGAGGCTCTATGGGCACATCACATTTCAAGATATGGTGCTACAAAGGTTACTCCTTTTGAGTTAGTATATGGTCAAGAGGTCGTGTTGCCTGTTGAAATGAATTTGGATGCATACAGGCTTGCTAAACAAAATGATCTATCCATTGTTATGTATCATGATTTGATGATGGATAATATCGATGAGGTGACTGATATAAGATTAAGAGCTCTCATGGAGATAGAGAAAGACATGGCTCAAGTTGCCAAGGCATATAACAAGAAAGTCAAGAGCAAATCATTCCAAGTGGGAGAATTAGTGTGGAAAACCATACTACCAATTGGATCGAAGAGCAACAAGTTCGGCAAGTGGTCACCAAATTGGGAAGGTCCTTATAAAGTGATCAAAGTGATATTCGGTAATTCGTATATGCTAGAGACACTGCAAGGTGAAAGTCTCACAAGAGCAATAAACGGAAGGTATTTGAAAAGGTACTTTCCAAGTGTTTGGCAAGAAGCCTAAGTGCTCTCCAAATAATAGCCGATACAAGTATCGCCCTTAGAACAAAAATGGCCGATATATACATCGCCCTTAGTCACTGAGCAGCCGATGAGATGGGTATCATTGTTGTTTGGTTTTAATTTATTTGATTAAGTGTTTTCAGGTTTATGCATCATTCACCTGAAAATAGGAGGGCATATGTTGACAACCAAAATTGTCTAATTTTTGAAGTTGTCAAAATGTGGAATGGACTTCACCATTGCGTTCCTCACGTCGAGATGGTAAAAAAACATATATGGAACGTCTAATTCAGAGTCCAGATAAAGGAGTTATACCCCCAGAAAGATGCTCCGTTGTCGGGAGTTCTGACCCAAGTTAGGGACTAATGGGAAGCCTGAAGAAACCTGCTCGGATGTCTGGGGTTATCCCCACATCGGGAGTTCCGACAAAGGTCAGAAGATCCGACTGTCAGGAGTTCCGACCCAAGTCGGGACTTGCGACAGACCTAACAAAAAACTCTGTTCGGATCTAGCCTTTTGGATTCTGATCTGAACTATTCCAAACTCGTGGGAAACTTAAAAATAAGGCTTGGAGAGGTTTTCTACTGGGATAAGACCCCCCTCTATATATATGAGAGGATCATGGCCGATTGAGTTTCCATTTATCCAATCAACATAAAAACACAACAAATCAATCTACTACCTCTCTTTACCCTTTTTCCCAATCTACCTCTTCTCCTCATTCTTCGTCGGTGCGGCATGGCTAAAGGATAGACGACGACGCTCTAGAGTAGTTAGGCCAGCTAAAGCAGCCCATAACCGCTGCACGCCCCGACAAGGTCCCTCCCGGGCGTGTGGGGTTTCGGGTCTCAAGAGACCTCACCGGCGTGTCTTACGTATCGCGCTCCCGACGAGGCTCCTCCGGTGACGTGTCTTGCATATCGTGCTCATCGTTGGAGGCACAAGGTCTAGGTGTGGACATCCCCTAGGCATCAGTCGATCCCAAAATCGGCTAGGCCCTACATCGAGCGATCTAGCTCCTTATCGAGTGTGTGACGTAATTAAGCATCAAGAGGTGGTTATGTGGTTAAGGTGGAAAGGACAAGGAAAGGCATGGACTAAGCTAGATTAATAGGATAAGGGCAAGATGCAATAAACGTTGCACCAAAGCTTGTACAACTGTACAAGGGTGGTTTCTGTTGAGAAGGGGGATAAAGCGTCCTTCTGGTGTTCTAGCTGAATTAATAGGGTAGCGGCAAAAAAACATTGAACCAAGCCTGTACAAGAAAACATGCTGGACGAAAATCAATGTGGAGTGCGCACTAAAGCAAAATAGATGGGTAGGACAAATAGAGTCCAAGTCGCTTTGGAAAGTCATCGAGGAGCCAAGGGACTACGGATGAGGAGTAATCAATCCATAGTACTTATCTTGTCCTATCAATAGGAGATGCAAACCAGTTGAAGATTACCCCTGTATGAAAACCAAAGGCAAAACCTAAATGATGTTCCTTTGTTTAGACCTTTTCCACAAGAAAATTCTTATGACAGAAAACCTCCAAAAGAAAGGCTGGCAGCATGATACAGTCTACAAATTGTGCCATATAACTAACAAAATGGTGAATCACCTCTGCATGGATTGCCCATTTAAAAACAGGTCGGGGACATTCTGTCCTTAGTGAGCTGCGTGAGTTTTAGAGGTTTGCTGTACAAGTGTTGGAGAAAGGCAAGGTTAAAGATTGACAAGACAAGAAGACGGGACTTCAATGGTTTAGATGAAATATATAAACATGTCAGAGTATACCACGGTGGCGAAATCAGAAACTTGTAGGACCCCAAACAATACTCATTATGTAGAAATATTTATCTCAAAAATTGTAGTGTTTCTTACAAATGAAAGATCTTTTTGCACTTTGTTGACAAGCCCAGACGGCTAGCAGCGTTGTACCGACACGCCATCTCCAAGCTTGCGCACGAGATCCAAATGCGGCTCGCACCATTTTGCTTCAACGGTCGAGCGCAATGACAGCGAAACCCATCGGCGCGGAGTCGACGGCGGTGGGGGCGGAGGCGGGGGCGGCGGTGGCCGCACCCATCTCCGGTTGCTACCTCCCAGGCGGCAGCGAAGGATTCAAACGGGCTTGTCGTGGCAGCAGATTCCTCCAAGCATGGATTTTGTGCGGCCAATTCATCCCCATACTGCCACAAGCGAGCGCAGCTGGCCGTCCACTCCACGCACGAGCCGCCGCCGGTTGGGGCTGCTCGAGCGGCCGCGCACAAGATGTAGTCTGACTGCCCTACTCGATCCTTGGGGTCACTGGCCTTGGCGTGGGGCAGGTCGGTCGAGATGTGGAGGAGGATCCGATGATGGTGGAGGTTGGTGCCGCGCTCCCTATTATCTAGACAGCTAGAGCACCGACTGAGCACGAAGCCCCCAGAACGAGAACTTCGCCTATGCGTGGTTGTGGGTCGCTGCACACAGATAGACCAGCTTTGGATTCCTCTAGGGTTGGTGCCTTGGTGTCCTTCATCAATGCCATCAAGCTACCGCTCGAGCAGCCGCTTATGGTGTCACCGCCCAGGCTGCACATCACCAAGGACCCCAAGGTTGCTGATGATGGCAATTTCGTCGCCAAGCGCAGTGCCCGTTTAGCGGCTAAGAGCAAGTTTAGAGCAATGAAGCTGGACGCCCAGGCAAGAAAGGTGCTCCTGAAAAAGCTCGGGCTTGAGGAGGTCGAGACAAAGAAGCCTGATGGGGCATCCTTTGACGAGTTTCAGCAGACTTTCACCACGCCGCTGCCCCCTGGAACGCGGGAAGCCATGGAGGACCTTTTTCTAGGGAGAGGCTGGCGTCGCGCGATGGACGTTGAATAGGCTAAGCGTTTCTACAGCTTTGCCTTGTTGTACCCACGGTCGCAAATTCTAGTGTCGTATAGTCCTTTGTATGTGTTGTAGTTGCTAGGCTCTAGCTCTACCGTGTTGACGTTCTTGGTTGGTCTTGAACGCTAGCGTCTTGCCAGCGGGTGTGGAATGGCCGGAACTCGTCAATATCGTGTAACTTTGAAGCTTTCCTATCGTCTTAATGAAACACAGGTTATGACCTATTCGCGAAAAAAAGATGAAGAAAGAAAAAAGGCAAGTGCCAACCCAGTTTTTTGAATGGGAACTGGGCCAAAAAAAACCATACAACCGAGGAGAGTGCCCACTCATCCTGCATAACTTTTGAACAACTATCACAACTCACGCCACCACTTGTAGCTTGGCCGAATCTACTCAACTACCAACACCTACCCAACTAACAACACCTTGGCCGAAGGAAAAAACCACAACTAGAGAAAGATAACTTGGAGAGTCGTAGGAGGCACCCAGCACCATCAATGAGCACCGTCACCGTAGGAGAAGCGCCATGACAAACGGCAAGAGGTTTACTGTGGGATCTGGATTGCCTAGCAGAGCCTTCAAGAAGGAAACGACGCCATGAGCGTCGACAAGCTAGCCCGAAGAGGGAAGGTTTTCACCTACAAAATCCAACGCGGTAGACAGAGAGGTAGTAAAGGATGCCTCCAAGGAGGGCATGGCGTCCACAGACATCGTCGTCTAAGCTTTCGCCCTGACCTCATGCTTCTTCCACATCCGCCTCCATCGGAGTCCCATAGAGGTAGCCTGACCCGAGGAACCAGCCCAGTCAAGGGAAAGGTGGGTGGTGGGAAGAAGAGGGCTAAGATCAGAAGAAGCCCTAGTCGCCCAGCCCACCACCATCCCAACCCCTAGCCAGTAGTCCCAGCGTCAAAACCCGCCGCGTAGAGCCTCCAGCAACCCCTGTTATGAACTTCCGCCATTAGCACGCTGGATCCAACAGAGGGACGCCAGCCTAACGCCCACCACTGTATTCATTCCTAGCCCCACCAGACCCGAAGGGCGCAGCAGAACGGGCCGCCGCCCCCGATGCCGGTGAAGGCCAAGGAGCACCTCCTCTACAGATTCAGGTAGAGGGTGCCGGCTCCGCCCGCCCACGGATCGGGTGTGCCGCCGGTCGAGTCCCTCTGAAGAGCACGCCGAGGATCCCCCGGGAGAGACGCGACGGTAGATCCAAACCGAGGAGAGCAGATGATGATGACATGACACCTTCGAATATGACCATTGATTATAAGGTGAGCTTATTCCTATATTTGCCTAGTATTTTTGGTAAAATTCACTTGGTTCCACATGTACATGTCATTATTTGCTTGTAGGTGCAAATGTGTCTCAAAGTGCAAGATCATCAAAGTTGAACTTTCAGTTCATCGGTGGTCCGACAATGCTTCATTTGGAAGGTCATAACTCATCCATCCGGAGTGCGATTGCGGTCAATGAGCACTTGATGGAAAGCTTGTTTGATAAGCTTTCAAATAGATCTAGTCCCATCTCATTATCATGTCAGCAAAGCCACCAAATCATCAAGACATGCTATCGTTGTTTCTGCCGGGAGCTACATCGTCATCATGGGCTTGTTTTTTCACCCTTGGGACCCTAGCCTAAGTTGGAGCACGCACCAAAGAGATGGAGAACCCATAAAAGAAGCCCTTGCACGTTCTCCCCCCTGGCCACCACCTTAGGAGGCAAGCAAGGGCGTCCAAGCCAAGTTGGAGGTCCAATCTAAGTCAAGTTCGAGTCCATCTCGGGCTGCAGGAGCAGCATGTAGTAAAATGGACGTTCAGGTCACATACGGATTCTGTTTTTTATGATCCACATATGGATAGAAATATAATTTGGTAAGGTAACTAATGAAAGTGGTCCTACATCAAAATTCCATCAGAATCAACGGAAATCATCAAAACAAGTTGACATCCTAAATCTGTCGGGGCGCTGCGTCGCCTTCTTTTGGACCGTTGGGCCTTGTAACGTGTTGGGACACCTTTAGGACGTGGAGAGGGGTCCTTGGATGCCCGTTAGGCTATATAATCAGTAGTTGCCACCTACACTAGGGTTTGGGTTTTGCTTTAGATCAATCTGTCATTGAATAGTCGTCGTTATCGGTTTGTGAGACCCCAACTTCGAGTGCTTAATCATTTATCTACAATTGTCACTTCAATTGAGTTGCGTTTTATCTTGTTCTTGCTTGTGTTCTTCAATTCGCAGCAAGGATTAGCCTTCTTGGCGAGGTCAATGGGATTGTGACATGGTTGATAACCAAAGGAGACGTGGTGCTAAGATTGCAGGGTTTTAGTCTTTGTGATCTGAAGCCAGATCGGTGTGTCAATCTCCACGACTCCACCAAATCGATAGTTATCTTGAACCTGATGGAAGATCGGGAATCCCCGTTCCCTTTAGCAGATCTGGGCGGGGGAGGGAGGGGTTCGCCCGCCCCGGTGCTAGAGGTGCCGCCGGCTGAGGTTCCCCATGAGCCAAAACCCTACGGACCAGCCCGAAATGCGGCCAGAGCCGGATCTAGCCGGTGGGGAACCAGATCCACCCACAGAGAGGCCAGAGCCAGGCCGCTAGCCACCACCGTGAGAAGCACGACGATGGTGCAGGTCTTCACTGGGAGAGGGAGAGGGAGAGGGATGGAGAGGGAGGAAGACACCCGGCCGCCGCAGCCCTTGCCCTCCACCGGAGCTCCGGCGGCGACCGAGACGGGAAGGACGGAGGGAGGGGCCCGAAGGTGGGGATGACAGCACTGCCCAAGTCGCCCTCGGGGGATAGCGACGCCAGGGCTGAAGGGGTGCCGTAAAAAACTTTTTTAACCAACTATTATTTGTGTTCATATGTTCAGTGAATTATATTTTTAGACTTTCAATGGACTTTTATTTATGTTCATATATTCAGTGAACTATTATCTACTATATCATCTCTGTGTGATGTTATTTATACAAACTTGTGGTGAACTATTATTTGTGTTCATATATTCAGTGAATTGTTATCTATTTTCATACTTGCAGTGAATTACTTATGAGTATACAGTATAGTGTTCAGAATTGTTATCTGTGTGCTGTAATCTAAATTATTGATGATGTCAGCAATTGAATGAGGATGACAGGGAGGCTTTTGTTTGCTTGTGGGTGAAAGAATTCTTGACAGATCTAATATGAACATTTGTAAATCTATCTGGTTGCTAAAATAGATAATCTTTTTTTTGCAAAAATAGATAATCATGTTGTATCAAATGGCAACGCAATGATATACTGAAATGATATTTATGATTGATCATGGCTATATACAAGCATTAAATCACTTGGAGACTGTCAAACAGACAATCCTTGTCTGTGGATTGTATGAGTTATCTGTTTAGTCATCTGTGTTATGGATTCCAAGAACTCACATACAGACATGTCTGTGGGTTGTACATGCCCTCAGCCCCCCTAGCCACTAGATCTAGAGTAAGTGATAAGTTGTTGTAAGTGGTGCTAGCTATTTGGTCAGTTTTTGTTCCTTTTTTTTACTAAAAAATATGGTGAAACTTTTGTCGTCCATTAAAAAATATCATGAAATCAATACAAAATCACTTCTCTCTATAATAGAACTCGTCCTAAATCTAGCATCGGGACCTCTTCCAAAAGAGGCCTAACGAGTGATGTGTCGCTCTTGCTCCCATGCACGAGCGTGCGATACATGCTGACGGCCTGGGTTGCATAATTCCTTTAGTTGTCGTTTTTTGCAGGACATTCTGAACCTCTAGAGTGCGACCTCACGTGACATGTATATCAGTGGCGGAGCCACGTTGGGGCCATAGTGGGTCCTGCCCCCTTGCCACTGAGATTTATGTCCAGAGCAGTTCAGTATGGAAATGTCTTGCTGTTGTTGGCTTGAGGAGGAGAAAAGAGCTTGAAGAGGATAAAAGAATATAGAGAAAACAAATAGAGCAACAAGTTGGCCGTGGAAGAGAAGAGGAACACAGAGGTGTGTGTGATGTTATCCTACTGTGTGTGTGAGAGAGAGAGAGCAGCAGCAGCATTAAGCACACATGTTGATTTGGCAAATCCCCCCCCCCCCCAATTTAGCTTCACGCCCACCATTGCTGGGTATGGCTTGTGGCACAAGGGACTCTTGTACAAGAAATGTGTTACCGACTAAAGGGGCATCAAATATTATAACATTGAATTGAGCCAAACTTAGTTCATTATGTTGATTACGGTGGAACCTGCCTGTTCATTCAAAATCCCATATTTCATCTTGGGCTCGGTTTAGATCCACACAACTAATAGTTAGCTCTTTTAAATCTAAATGGAGTTAATAGTCTGGCTAATTGCTAACTAAATACTTAATTAACAACTATCTCACTAGTTAGATCCAGCTAATAGTAACTAATAGTTTTTTAAGAATAGTAGTATTAGTTATTAACAGCTAATGGATGATTGTTTTTAAGTGGTATACATGACTGGCCCGTCGAGGGGTTGGCAACAAAGTCATGTCTAGTGTGTGCTTCAAGAAAGAAAGAATATATATATTATATTGCAAGAGCACTAAAGGGGTAAAACTTGAACCATTTTTATTACTAAAAAAGTTTTTTAGTAAAAGAATCAGATGTCCCAAACCATTATTTTTGGCACATATCCAGGTGTCGGATACCAGAAAATGGGGTACCCCAAGCAAAGATCGAAAAACTGCTTAAACCCTAAAAACAGAACCAACGGAATAAGCAAACGAGGTCTCGGCCGAAATCTCCGATTCGCCCGAGACCCCGTCGCCGAGCCCAATGAAGCGAAACGATTCTTCGACTACTTGAGACCGCCTCGAGAGGCCCCCTCGTCGAGCCCCTCGCTGAGCCCCCCTTGGGGGCCTCGGAAGAAGTGCCGATTCTCCGATTCGCGCGAGGCCGGCTCGGCACCAGCCCCGTGACCGCCTCTTCGACCAGACTGATCTGACCGAACGTCACATCCAAGCACCCAACCACTCCG